TTTTCTTTTTACATTAAACTTTTTTTACAAAGTGAGATGCAATCACGTTATGTAACAAGTCTTATTAAAGGATTTATTAAACCACTTCCATCTCAAAATGATATGGAAAAATCTATACGTAAATATTATGAAAGTATTCGTAAAAATTATTGTAAATCCGCTCGTAGTGGTATTATGTTATCTTATATGCCTTATATGGATACTTTGAGTAAAGAAATTGGATGTTATCCTTATCCTTATGAAATATTTAAAAAATTTGGGTTTAATTTTTGGAAATTGATTATGTTTGGTATGGTTACTCCTATTCACGTACGTAATTTTTTTTCATTACATTATCATTATTAAAACATTTTTATTTTACTCAAGCATTAATTATATAATTTTATAGTATCGACTACTAGGAAGGAATTCTTGGGGAGGTGCGAAAGAAGCCATTTCGCTTTATAACAAACATAGTTTTAAAGCTGCAACAAGAGAATCAAGGGGTTATAAATTATGGATATATATCCTTATCTTAATATTGTTAAATAGATATGGTGGGTTTAAAAAAATATTTAATTATGTAAATTTGAAATTTTTAAAATAAATAAATGTTTTTTTACATAACGATGAATATACAATATTATCTTTATAATTATGATTCTATTAAAGATAATTTCATACTATATTTAATCTAATAAATAAATGCTCTTTTACTACTCTGATTTCTTTAAATCTTAGTGATATAGATTTAGCAGTAGAGATTATAATAAGTTGAAAAAGGTCGTAAGCCAGCAGATAGTATAGAACCTTCAGGCAGACTACTTAGATTAGGCACTAAAAGTGCATCAAAAATGTGACAAAATAATCAAACTTGTCTTTGAAGAAAACTCCTAAATAGAGACGTTCTACTTAAATCCTTTAATGAAAATTTAGTAACTATTGTAGTTTATGATTAATAATTATTAGTTGATTTTTTCATACACTTACACAAGAATGTACGAATACAAATTATGAGTGATGTACTCGAAGTATTTTAGATGTTAAAATTTTATTAATGAGGTTTTAATAATTTTATTTACATCTTAGATTTATTAATTGAAGAAACTAAACAATATTGACATCTAAATTTATAATACAGAAGTCTGATATTTAATAGTAGCGATCTATATTTGTAATCATATTATTTTCATTAATTAGTCACCTATTTCTATCCAAGTCTATCACCGATCCTTTCCACCCAAAAAATTTTTATATTTATGTCTATAACGCTGTTATAAATTCTCGTAGTATATAGATTTACGTTGATATTCTTTAACACATTTGCCATCTCGTTCGTCCTATTTGGACAAATTTATTGATACATATATTTATTGAATTTTTAAAATAAAAAAAAATAAGAAATTAAAAAAAAAAATTCAATAAACGAAAATAATTTAAACAACGGAAGTAAAAGAAATATATATGTATATATGTAGAGGAAAGAATTAAGCTAAAATGGAATTTTGAAAACTAAAATTATCTAAGATGATGACAGGTAATAACCCACAGCATCGAAAAATGCACTGATGCCATTGTCCAATAAAGGGACCATTAAATTATCGAGTACGTATAGGTGGCATTTTCACCACATACAAGGTGCCAAAGTATGCCTCGAAAGCATCAGCGTAACTTTTAGGTCATATTGAACTACATGTTGTTGGTTTATGCCATTACGCTCGTAAAGGATTAAAGTAATAGCAATTTCTGCCAAAATTTTATTGCTTCTATGCCTTGCCCTATTGCCCGTAGGTTGTAGCTGTATCCATATCTTTGCCTGGCGATTTTTAGTAAGCAATGTGTAAGGACTATGTCATCATAAGGTTATTGTGAGTCCTGTAGCCAACAACCACCGCTTACAAAAAATGATCCGGTATTGGAAGTGCATCTCGGGCAATGTTGGCTAAAGATATTAAATAAATTAAACGAATTAATCATTAGTTTAGTACGAGCAAAGTCGAAATAATCTTTTGTGGAAAAGTGTTATACACACTGGAATCATCCAATGTTATATTTTTACCTTCATCTATGCTTGTTGGGACTCCTGCAGTCCCGGCACTTTGGCAAAAAAAAACAATAGCAATTACATTTTATTATCAATTACATACTAAGACAAAGGGATGAACTTTGGCAAATAATTATAAATCATATGATTCCAAGACTTTGCCAACATAATAATGTCTTGCTTTTAAACGGGCTAAGTATATGGGGGCTATTATCCCTGTTTAGGGGACATTCATCGTCCAGAGAGCAAATTGTTCTGTTGAGCTAGTCAAGGGCAATTATTCTTTGGTTATTATTAATCCTATTAAATTTTACGGAGGTAACTAAAAGAGCTATCTGTAATTTGACCTGTGGCGGGAAGAACTCTCTTTCGAGACCTTCTTTCAGATGATTGGTTTTGTCTTTTCAAGCACTTATATTTTCTAAGAGCATGTTACGAAGTTTGGTTTAAAGTTTGTAAAGTTTGGCTGGTGTTTGAAAAGTTAAGAAGTGAAGAAAGTGCCAAAAAATTTATTACATTATTTAAAAAAAATCATTGACTTCGTGCAACAATTTAGAAAAATTGAGTAAAATTACTGCACAATTTATAGTTTTGTCTCTCATTTTAGGGATAAACTATGACGATGAAGAACATATACAGACTGGCTATTAAGTTTTTTTTTTATGGATATGTGACGATGTAACTAGAACGAAAGTCTGGTTTGCAGAAAAGACAAGTTAATTACTGCTTGTCTACTGATATTCTATGATTCAATTACCTCATAGTAATTAATTAATCAATTACCTTATAAATACCCCGGTTTTTTTATTAAGTGCATTAATATAACTGGGAAGTATTTTAATAGTTTTTAAGCAGAACCGGGATA